TAAAATTTCACATTTTTAAGAAAATTGTTCAAATAAAACTTGTTTATGATATAATTCTCTATAATTCTTGCCCTATACATAATTTCTTTAAAATGGACCGTATTTGAGATATTTGTGAAAAGGTGTAAATTTTGAATTTTGAAGAAAACTCAAAAACGGCGAAAGAGAAAAACCTTAAATTTTAACTCTAATATTTATTTTTATTTAAAAAAAAATAAATTATAATGTTGAAAACAAAATACATTGGTATTAAACTCTGGAATGGCAAATTTTCAAAAATATCCTTAATAAATTTTGATAAAGCACTTTATAAATGTAAAGTTTAAAATGGAGTAATAAAAAAAATTGACTGTTATACCTAGTCTATTGTAAACAAACAATATTGATTCCATACTATGAAGACTAGAGATAAGGAGACGAATCGGCACACTCAAAATACGGTCCCAAAAAACGCATGCTTCTATAATTAACTGCATGGGGGCTGGTACTGCATACGGTGTTTAAAATACATGGCTTCTTATGGGAATTATACATAATTTTGTCAAAATAATAAAAATAAATTTGTTTATAGCTAAATAAAGCACAGGACATACTGTTGTATTTATTTCTAAATAAATCTTGTATATTTTAATTTATACATTATTTAATTTTATCTATATAAAATACAAATTAGGTATGTATGACCAAATTCGAAAAGGTTTCTTAAGAAATTTGATAAATTTGATAAATACAATTTTATGGCAATTTTTTTTTTATAGAACCAATATACATATAGTTTTACGAGTAAAATAAAATATAGTTAATAGATTTTTTATTGTTGTAATACAAGTATAAAGGGAGATTTGGGAATGTACATCGTATTGCCTCATCCTTTAATTTCAGCTTTCCCCTTTTTATTTTGCTAACAGTACCATCAGTAAAAATAGTCTCATAATATTTGATATCTTCTAAAAAGTATAGAACAGCATCATCTCTAGAAAGTGCTTTATCGGCACTAGGAACAATACATATACTATCACTGTTCTAAACGTTTAGCATCCTATAAAAAACATTTACAATGTCACAATTGGGATCCAAAAAAAAATAACAGTAGCAACTCTTTATCTAACATTAAAACTATAAAAAAGAAAAAAAATGTTCTAGTAGTAAGTTAAATTTAATGATTAATTATTGTTGTTTGTAAGTCAGCATCTATAACTGTAAAATTTTATATTATAGAAACTTGTAATAAAATAAATTACACTTCGTAAGATACATATTGTGACTAGTTTACAATAAATATTATATTTAGACATGAATACATTATTTTACTTACATTAAAAGCTTTAAAAAGACATTGAATTGATTTCTTCTTGTGTTTTATTTAGTTTTACATTTGATTTTTATCCTGTTTACAATTTGGAACGACGTAAATCTTGCTTTGATGTTTTTTGTCAATCATATTACTTGTACTCAGGTACTTTCTTTCGCATTATTTTGATTCTTTTCACAATTTTTTTAAAAAATCACTTTATTTTACATTGACTTACATAGAAAATTGACTTCGCTGTCATTAGACATGCCAACTACAGTCAATTTTGCGAACTTTATAAAAAGAAGGACGGAAATTTGAAATTTGACCATTGCCGATTCGACTCCTTCTCTAGTCTTCATATTCCATACCTATCTTGTGCAAATTAATAATAAGATACCTACTTATTTTTTTTTTAAATAAAAATATTTGACAAATTGTCTTAAATCAAAGCTCAGAGATGCTACTCTTACGTATTAGACTGTTGCCAAGTCGCACAAAAAGTTTACTATCCAAATATTTATTATCAAAAATACGTTTCTAATAGTTTCTCTTGTCCTAACAATATTTTATAATAATGTGACTATTGACGTTGTTTAACCCAACCAGAAAAATTGATAAACGACATATATTTATTTAAAAAAAAATTGTGTCATTATTAATTTGCAGAAATCTAACTTGTTTTTTTTTTTGTTTACAATAGCAATAAATACCTACAAAATATGTAGGCTTAGTTTTTCCGTAATAGAAGAGTTCGAACTGGACGTTTACCAGAGCATTTACCTAATAATGGCTTTTACTGAATTCAAATATCTCTAATAGTTTTGAGATATTTAATAATAATAATAATAATAATATAATGAAATAGAATAAATTATTATGCTCGATAAGTGATTTAACACTTTTTTCGAGAATAATTTGGAAAAATAATAAATGTAAATGAACAAATACATACCTACTATGTATATAATAATTAAAATTACATTTCTTAATATATTTTGTTATGATATGAATTAAAATACATTGCAATTACAATTTTCATAAATGTAACTTTTGTTTATTTTTTAAATATAACAATACACAGTAACTGACATCACTAACATACAAATTTAAAAATGATTTAAAAAAAAATAAAATAAAATTGGTTTTTATGTCAGCTTTATTACAGGATCTCGATTACATGATGGATTAAGTCACGGTGTTGTTGAACATAAAAAGTTAAAGTTTTTTTGAACTGTTTTAGGTAGAGAATTGATTTTAAATCGGATAGTAGTGAATTGTAAATGTTTGATCTCATATATGAGTAAGCTCATTGTCCAACTGATTTATGCATATAGGGAATTAACTCGGAATTTTTACTGGTATTGTAGGAGTGGATCAGCTGCATACATTTTTTGTTAGAATGATAATATATCTTTAAGTAAAAAAGTTGTCGGATATCTAGAATTTTTGGATTCGGTATATAGCAGAATTGTAGGATATGTGAAATCTTTACTGAATATCAGTTTTAAGACCCTTGGATGATTTCCAATGTATGCATATGAGTTTTTAAAGCATTACCCCATACTAAAAGGACATACCACAGGTGACTCTCCACCAAAGCAGAGTAAAGTTTAAGTTGATTAATATTAAGTATTGATTTTAAATATTTAAATTCGTAAAGAATAAACCTTAGTTTTTTACAAATGAACATAATATGTTTATCCCATTTAAGATGGCAATCTAGAATGATTCCTAAATATTTTGTTTTTTACTTGATTAATTCTAGTGGCAGTTATTAATAATAAAATTTAAACTATTAAAAAAAGGTGCTGATGATTTATTACAAAAGAATTGTAAGTAAAACGTTTTATTTACATTGATGGTCAATAATTTTAAGTTAAGCCAATTCTGAATTTTAGGAAAATCACTCTCCACCAGGTCTTTAATATTTTGTCATGTATCACTGCTATAAAATTTCACCTTTAGATTTAATTGAAAATAGATCATTAATGTATAAATTAAAAAGAAGTGGGCTTAGATTGATACCTTGGGGAACTCCATATCTTACCGGTAAGAAATTACTATATGTATTACTCACTTTAACTATTTGTGTTCATGCATTTAAGTAGGTTTTAAATAGGTTTAGAGGAATGTTTCTTATATCATAGTTCTCTAGAGCATCAACAAGCAAATCATGACTGACGGTCTCAAAGGCCTTTGAGAGGTCCAGAAACACGCAAAGACAAGGTTTGCTTCTGTCAAGAGCACTGTTAATTTTTTCTGTCAGAGCCAATAAAGCATCCACAGTTTGGTATCTGAATTTCTATTTATACACCCTGTACAGTACCAGGGTTGGCACGTAGATGTTTTTTGCACCTAGGTTTCTAGTTCTTTTAAAAAATATACTAAAATAAATATTCTCCAATTTTAAGTTTTTTAGTTTTTTTTTAGATTTTTAGGTCTTTAAAGATAAGTACATATTAAGAATTTACAATTTAATTAATCAACTTTCAGGAGAAAACAAAAATTAATTATAAAAACAAATGAAAATATTTTATTAAACGTTATACCTACCTACCTACGCACCATTGTAACTTTTTGATATTGATATTAATGATAGTGACAATTAAAAAAAACATTTATTTATTTTTTACTTTTCAGTTTTTTTTTTATTTGTAGAGTGTAATTTTTTAATATAATAAAATTCTATATTTAAAATTTTGCTAGTATTTTTTGTTTAATTTTATTAACAATAACTTCTGACAAATATGAACTACAAACCTTTAAAATCCTATAAAACCTCAAAAAAACATTAAAAACCTATAAACCTACTTATATATTTATTAATTCTTCGTTTTTTCTAACTCTGTATACTATCCGAGATGCTGATACTACCCAATATTAGATGCAATTTTTTTTCATTTATCTTTAGAGGTTTAAACAAACCAATTGCTTACTATTTGTCAAAAAAATCTACAAATATTACTAAAATGTATAAATAATTTTATTTATTCTTTTATTATATTAAGCAATTTAAAACAATTCAAGAACATTATTTATTATTTTACACGAAACTTATTTTCCATAAATATTTAACTAATTTTTGCAAATTGAAAATAAAAACAAACAAACATTTATTTAGTCATCCCAAGACCATTTTCCCTACAAAGGTATTTATGTAATTCTTAATTGCCAAAAAAAATTTTTTTATCTAAGTACCTAGGTACTTATTCATTGATAATATACAAAAATATTCAATTGTCTTTTTTAGATTTTGTATTCAACCTTAAGCAATATCAAAGTTAGGTATTTAATTAAAAGGTATGTAGACTTTTTGCAAATGTAATTTTCATTTAAGAATACCTAATTACCTAAAAGAATGCTTTTACCAATTTTTTTTTTTTATCCAAAATCTATCAAATATTTTTAGAATGTACAGTTATTTTTGTGATTTGAGAACATTTCATTACTTATGGCTTTTTAGATTCAGCATTAGGTAAGACTAAAGCAATTTTAACAATGAATATTTGATTCTTTTTTTGGAACTACATAATTCAATGACAAATCAAAAATGTAAATCAATATTTGGAATTTTCAAATTTCTCTATGCTTTTAGGCAATAACCTCACTGTAATAAGAAGTTTTTATTTAACTATGGATATGAACCTATTTTTATTCATAACTACTGTCAACAATCCACAACCAACAAATATATTAAAATACTAACCCTATATCCATCCCAGGTCGTAAAGAAAATGTAAATCCAAACGGTTAATCCAATATAGAACACTTTTTAAATAACACCACAAAAATTCACAAAAAATTCAACCATCCACTAATTAAATTACAAATCCATCATTACGAAAAATCCAAAAAGAAATTGTCACTGTCACAAATCAAATCTTCACAGAAAATTATCCCAAATTACTGCCGAAAAATCGTCAAAAAAAAATCCAATATCGCGCACCCCGCAAATCTTTCTACCCTCGTATCTCGCGTACACCCGGTCTCCTGCGATAGATAGGGAACTCCCGCGCGCGATGTGTATTTGTTTTGGAAGCGAAATATAACGGTAAGTCGGACCAAGTTGGCTGCGAGAACGCGATGTGAAACAACTGAGCGCGATGATATGTTTCGCGTTTCCTAAGCTTGCTTAGCTAAGCCGATCTAAGCAACCCCGCGAAAGCGCGCGATTGAAAACGAATGCAAGGTTGCTGGAGGGCGACGTTGCCGAGCGCGAGTTCGGATTTCGCGCGTTGGGGTTCTTGACTCCTGCTTGCTGCTTGTTTAGATTTTTCGGCGTGTTTAGTTTGAAACGGTGAGAAGAAAAGGCGACGAAAGAAATAATAGCCTATCGTTGTCAGGTTCTGGATCTGGATGATTAAAAAATTGTTTTATTTTTATAATGGAGAGTTAGGATGTTATTATCGCGCGTAGGTCTTTGGATCTAAAAATACTGCTAATTACCAATTAGACAACGTTCCTAAAAGTTCGTTGGAGTTAGAGATATTGGAAATTGGAAGTTTCAATCGGGATGTACCTAATCAATTTAATTTGTTCAACTACCTTAAATTTTTATATAGGTACCTAATTCGCAAAATGAATTGGGGATCACTATAACAACTTTTACTAGGTAAAGAAAAAGCTTGATGGTATTTTCAGTGGCGGCTTGTGGTAATTTAAAAAGGGTGTTCACTTTTCCCAATAATTTTATCGTTTATAAATTCAGTTCAAAACTTTGTACAAACTACAATATATCTATTTTTTTTTATTTAGGTTTATATTAAGTGTAGTTATTATTATCAATATCATACTGTTTTCAAGCACTACAACTATTAATAAATGAATATTTTAGTTAGTGTGATATTTGTTTTGTTTTTAATATGTTGAAAATCATTTATAAACATTATTAGTTATAGTCAGCTGACTTTTCTTCGTATTTTGAGATTAGTTTTAAATATATATTAGGTTATGTACAAGTTTGACATTGATTTTTGTGTAAAAATATTATATCATCCCCTTATTGAGTTTGACTTTTTCCAAAAATTTAAAATTGACATTATTGTTCGTTTTTAAGTTAGAATTTTTTAAATATTTTAACCTCCTTTAACCCCGCCACTTTTATTCAATTTTTTTTTCACAATCAATAGGCCTCATCTCCATATATAGCTTGATTTTTACTAAAAATTTCATGTTGATTTCACTTTTCATTTTTGATTTACGATTTTTTTTTAATTTCAACCTCCCTTAAACCCCCATTTTTAAACAGATTTTTTTTCAAAATCGAAGGTATTTTTCTCCTTGATATTCAGTTTACATCCCAGGTACTGATATTGGTAATATTTAATTAAGTTTTCATGATATAAGTACATACCTAACATAAACACAACTATTTAGTTTCTTGAATTAATTTGGCCAAGTGCAATTTTTTTTTTTTTATATCGTAAACTATAACTATTTTTTTGTAAATGCATGCGGCACCATCATTCGAGTTAAATCCTCACCGCTACATCAGTCTGACACTCTTTATCAGTACTTCTAGCATCATATATTTCTATAAATTCAAATTCATTAAGGACAACCTACAAAATAACAATAATAATATTTGCAATAGCTATAGATGGACTTGCCACATCAATAGAAGAAAAGATTGGAAAAAGTATTTATGTAGATGATATGGTAATATACTATGAATCCAAAACGATAGAAAACAGAGAAATATTAACAAATTAACAAGCTATGTAGAAGAACATGGTTTTTTAATTTCTGAATCTAAAACACATTGTGTTCATATCTGTAGGTTAAGAACTCCCCAAAACTCTTTTTGGGGGAACATGAAATCGAAATTAAATGCTCTACAAGAATCCTTGGGGTTATTATAGACAAAAAATTAAACGGGAAAGAGCACATCAACAACACAATCACAAAATGTAAAAAATATCTAAATATTATGAAATCTATTGCTAGCATAAAATGGGGTTGTGATAAAAATGTGCTACTTATGTTCTATAAATCCCTTATCTTTTCTAAAATAGACTACAGTAGCATTATCTACTGCTTTGCACGAGAAACCGCTCTAAAACCTCTCGACTCAATTCAAAGAGCAGCTTTAAATACAGCGTTGAGAGCTTACAGAACAAGCTCCTATCTTTTTCCTAGATAAACATCTATTCCCTCACTGAAATATAGAAAAGAACAACTGATAACTAACTATTGTACGCATATTTTTGGCTCAAAATAACCATCCAGTCACTAAAATAATTACTCCTTCAGATGCAGATGATATCTTTAACAGGAGATCAACAATAACTAGACCAGCCCGAATTAGATTCAAAAAACTACTAGAAAAACTAAACGAAACTTACCCGTTCCTCCTCTCTCTTCATCAATTCGAGGTGTCTCCATGATTACTTAAAAATCCACGCAATGAACACGATTACCTAAAACGCAATAAAAATGAAATACCTAGAGATTTAATAAGACAAATTTTTTTGGAAATTACAAATACTTAACCAGATAGCAATGTAATTTTCACAGATAAGTCAAAAAATCCAGATCAAGTTGGTAGTGCGTTTATTACTGGAAACATCACCTCTACCTGGTCCTTACCACCGGCTGCTACAGTATATACAGCAGAACTTTATGCGATATGGCAGGCACTAACATTTGTTGAATTCGACCACAATAAAACCCATTTAATTTGCACACACTTCACATTTATTAACGATCGATTAATCTAAAACATCTTATCAACTCTATTCTATCTTGATTCGTTATTTGGGTCCCAAGCCACGTAGGTATTCTAGGTAACGAAAAAGCTGATCAAGCTGCAAAAGATTCACTAAAAGACCATCCAAAAAATATCCCAATTAGAGCTGAGGACTATAAAGTGTATATTAAAAGTAAAATTCTAGTACAATGGCAAACGGTATGACGCCAACACCATTCAAAACTAGAGTCAAACCTTCTGTAAATACTCAGCACCAATTAATAAATCTAAAACGAAAAGAACAAGTTGTTTATACCAGACTCAGATTAGGACACACCTCCCTTACTTCTTCTTACCTATTACTCGGTGAAAATCAGCCTCGCTGTGACATATGCAGAACAGCACTTACGATAGATCACATACTCCTAGACCAGAGGTTCCCAAACTCTTTTGTTTCATAGACCACTTTCAAAATTTTACTGGATCCGGTGTAGTTACATCACTACCAATTTCTAAATCTCGAAGAAAAAAAAAGTGAAGATTAGATCCATCTATGGAAACTTGCGTTGTGGCTCAGTTTTAACGACGAATTAACAATTTTCAAAAAAAAAGTTTAGAATTGATTGCTTGATAGGGATAATTATTTGATAATAAAGTCGACTAAACAAATTTTCAATTAAATTTTAATTGATTGTGCTGTGAGTGGATGTCAAAAAAGCAAAGTTGGCCAAACAAAAAAGTGACTCCATCCAACTTTACTTTTTTTGAAATCTACAGTGACTCACAGCACAAGAACCAATCAATTATCACAAATTTTATTTAGAAAACTTCCCATTCGGAGTGGTAAAAAGAAATATAGTATATTTCCTTGTGTTGTAGGTATTTATTTAAATTTAAATATATAAATTATTACACTATTAATTATTATTATTATTATTATTATAACCGTCGTAATATAATTAAAAGTAAGCATTTATAACGTAATGTAATTTCTACAATGGTAATTACAAAAAATATAATTTTAATGAGAGGAATGTACTTGATAGATTGACAGCAAATTATCAATATTTGGCTTAAGTTTTGTAAGGAATAACCGTAAATCTCCTCTTTCTGTGATATTCAATCTGCTACTTTTTTTTTGTTAATAAGTTTGTAACGGCACTAAAACTTTTTTTGACGAGATATGACGAGGAAAACGCTATCAGAAGCTCTTGCACAATTCCCCACAGTCCAGGATATTTTTCGGGTATTTCTGCCTGCAGCCAAAATTTTTGATACCCTCTTTTAAATGTCGCTTTCAGTTCCTAATTAGTGCTAAGCTCGAGTAGCTCCTCTTGTAATATCACATTCTCCACTTCCGTTTCATCAAATGGATTTATGATCCATGGTGGGATTTTCATCGACAGAATATCTTCAAATCTGAATTTAAAATCATCATGCAGGGCAATAAAATGTTGAACGAATGTCTAAATATCTTCATCTACCTGCGACAAGTATGAAAACTTTGAAAATTCGCGCCGACCAAACTCCACATTCAATGAATTAGATAGGTAATGAAAATAAAGTAGGAACGATAAGTTCAATCTTTCTCGGCTTAAAACTATACGCATATAACAAATAGACAGGTAGGTACTTACTTTTCTGACACTGGCAATCACCAATATCAATTCACTTTACTTTTCTTTTCGAAAGTCTGGAAACAAATTCAGTCACTGACCAACACTAATATCGATTCGTTTTTTTTTTTATGAAATTCCAGAAAGAAATGAGTAACGAATATCCTTGACATTCGTATTTATATTGGTGAAGAATCAAACACGTTCATGCAAGATTGCAATCACATACACCACAAGTCGTATTAATTTGCACGTCTGAACAAGCGTTGCGGACGAGACGGCGGCCGGCGTGGCAACGACAAGTCTCGACGCATTGTACTGAATATGGAATATGCAAGTTTTTACAAGTAACAGTCGCTGAGCTTCTTAAAATATAATCTGCCTATATTGATAAGAGAAGTCAAGTCAACATTTTAGTAACTAAAATGTTGACTATTTATATTATAAACAGTTGAAGTTTTTTACAAAAATTTCTTCATCACATGAAAAATGAGTAATTAATTGTTTAATAGTATATTGCTTCACTATCGAAACCAAATTAATTTTCATGTACCCCCGCTTACGATTGTGGACCCCCATTTTTTATTACGACCTGGGAGTCCACCTGGACCACTTTGGGAAATACTGTCCTAGATTGTCCCGCATATGAAAATATTAGACGCCAATTACTAATTCCCAACAGAATAGTGTTCTGCTTAACAAGTGAAATATTTTTTAAAAAAGTCCTATACTTAAAGCCATTGGTATATACAACAAAATATAAATGAATTTGTTCTACAAGGTGTTTCAAAAAGGTATGTCATAACTTCTTCCACAGATAGATTA